AATGGATTTTAAGAGGGTGGGTAATAGTGGCTGAATGTGATTCAAAGGAGCTGTTGATACTCAGAGATGGTAAAGGATTAAATTTCCAATCATTAGAGATAAGTAGACCAGTACCTCCACCTCTTCCAATCAGACGGGGGGAGTGGGAAAAAGAGAAATTATTGGAGAGATAATTTAGTATAAACCATACTAAATAATATAATAAATAAAAAGAAAACAGATAGAATAGAAAAAGAATAGAGCAAGATAGGGTTAGAGGTCTTTTTTGATTTTGTTAATTGTATAATAAATAAAAAGAAAACAGATAGAATAGAAAAAGAATAGAGCAAGATAGGGTTAGAGGTCTTTTTTGATTTTGTTAATTGTATAATAAATAAAAAGAAAACAGATAGAATAGAAAAAGAATAGAGCAAGATAGGGTTAGAGGTCTTTTTTGATTTTGTTAATTGTATAATAAATAAAAAGAAAACAGATAGAATACAAAAAGATTAGAAAGCAAGTGTTAGTTTTTTTTAAAGAAAACAAGCAGCAAATGAATAGAGTTCAAGTCTAAAAGGGTATTTTAAGTCTTTTTTTAAAGAATAGAATTAGAATAGAGAGTGCTAGAGCATACAGCGCAAATACTGTAGTCCGAAATCCGAATCCCGAACGAGTGAATCTGATGAGTCGGTTCTTTTTAGAGAATCATCATACAGCTCGAATACTGGAGTCCGAATCCCGAACGAATGAATCTGATGAGTCGGTTCTTCTTAGGAAATCAAAACCATACCGCGCAGTCACCAAAATGACTCCAGAACAAAATGACTCTCAAGAGCCGGTTATTTATAGTAAATCAAAAAAACATACAATATTCGTTACTCGTAAAAACCCGACATTTAACATTCGTTAGAGCCTTCCTGAATTGCAGAGCTATAAACTACAGAGCAGAAAAGGAACTACGAAATATTAACATGTCAGTCTGGCTGTGGCTCGATTTTAGGCTGGTTTCACTTTCCTGGCGAGTCAACCTTGCCGTTATCTGCTGTAAAAAGTAGACGGACAATCTGTTTTTCGAGAGAGTTATATGACTTTATCTAAACACGCAGGAAGAGCTAAACTGGTCATGTTTTAGAAAAGAGTAACGTGTGTTCCGGTGTCCCCTGAATCGTAGATGAAATCGCCAACAGACAACTTTTTACTAGAAGAAAATGCCACATGATTTGTGTAATTTATCTTAAATGTTGTTCGTAGTAAACACTAATAGTCATAAACTGGTCACCTAGTTAAATTCGCAAATCGTGTAGGGCCAAGTACACTACAGATACAATTTACGATAAAACAATTAATCCACGGCATTATTACCGGTAGTTAAGTTGTTAAGCACGTTCTCTTCTCTCATAGATGGTCGTTTTAATATTAAAACAATAATTCGTATTAAAGGAATATGTGTTTACATACCATGTTTCTGAGGAACTCTGAGGTGGGATATTTTGGTCTACCTGTGGTGGTCCTGAATCCTTTGGTCAGTTTGTATGGGTGGGTGGGCTTTAACTCACACCTCCATGAACATCACAAAGACCACACAAACCGCTGCAGCGGTCATTATTATCATGATAAGCTGCATCTCCTCACATCTGCATTCTGCACATCACAGCTTCACAATCTCGCAGAACTGCTGCAGGATATTCATACAGAAGAATGGACAGGTGTGTTGCATGAGACGTTTGTTTCCTCATGCAAGGCTAATGAGGTGAGACAGAGGTTACAATAACAGTCTATATTACATTCATTGGTCAGGAGCGTGACATTTCAGGATACTGTATGTTTGTAATTGTCTCTTTAATTAACCCTTCAATCACAAAGGAATGAAAAAAAAAGTTCATGTTTCTTTTAACTGGAAAACAAGAATGTAATAATCCCCAATCTTTCTTAAATGTAACAAATTTCTTAAAATGACATATTTCGAAATATTTACTTTAAGATAGGCATTCCAGAAGTACATGGTGCATCACTACTTGTTTCAGCTATTTTGAATTTTTGACTATTTATATTTGCCTACAAAATTAATAAACGTATTTAAACAAGCTTTCATTTTCTGGAAAAAAAAAAAAAAAGATTAAGAAAAAAACTGTACAGATGACAGGTTTCTATTTTTAAGTTTTCGTTTTTCTTAAAGTTAGATATGCTATATTTTTTGCATTGAATTTTAAAATGCACTTTCACAATAAATAACACATTGTAAACATGACTAGAACCCTTAAGGCACTGTAAAACCAGGTTGTGCCTGTGTATTATTGCAGGAAAATAACATGCAATGCTTCTTTTGTTTGTTGATACAGTTGTTTTATTATAAAGGTCAAAATTGACCCCAAACATGACTGCATATTTTCTGAAAAATACAAAGAATAAAATTCTACTTAAAATTGACAGTAAAAGCAATTAGAAAAGCACTAAAAACAAGAGAAAAAAAAATCCATTTCATTGGGACCATTAAAATGCATAAAAACTGTAACAAAAAATATGAAAATAATTTTTTTAAATTGTCAAAAGTCTTCTTGAGTGCTGTAGTGTAAACGATCAGTCTTGTGGCAACACTTTAAAAGTCTAAAAGGCCAGTCATTTAGACTCAGATAGAGTGAACAAGCGCCACAGAGAAGGCTGACCCCACAGCAAGCCCAAGTGTGAGGAAGAAGGACATGACAACCCCCGCAGGCTCAGCCAGCTCCCGCGGCACCACTTTGGGCCCATAGATCATGGGCAGTGTGCCCAGGTACCCGTTGGAAATCCCCAGCAGACAGACGAAGACCACGGGGAAGAGGTCATGTGCAAAGAACACACTGTGCAGATGGTACCGGGGCTGATAGTTGCAGAACATGAAGAGAGGAACCAAGGCGCTTCTGGAGACCACCAGCAATGGCAGCATGCGGCTGGTGGGACCCGGCACCTGCAACCAGGCCGTGACCTGGCGGCCGCAGAAGTCTGCAACATTGTACAGTAAAAAACTAGTCAGAGGCACAAAGTATGTGGTAGCCCAAGGGCTTCCAGAGTCTTTATTCATGGACTGGATCCCCGAGGAAAGAGCAGGGAAAATCATGATGGAGATGAAGAAAACGTAGAAGACGCAGCTGCCCAGAACCCAGGTCTTCTTCAGGATGGGTTTGAGGGGCGGCACGGATCCAGAAGTCGACTCAGAGCGGCTGCTGTGGCTGTTAGACTCACTACAGGGTACAGCTGCTACTTCCATGTAGTATCTGAAAGAGGGAGAGACAGACAGACGTCCCGTTGACACTGCTATTATGATCAGTGATGCCACAAAATACATACAGACATTGACTGCGATTAATATATTTCCCATTCCTTCATTTAAAATTTTGTTGTGGGGCTTAAAGTAAAAAATGTTTAGGTGGTGTAACTGTTTGGAAGCTTAAATAAATAAGTTTCACTATTTATTTATTTATTTGTTTGTTTGCTTGCTTGCTTGTTTGTTTGTTTACCAGACAAACAACCAACCATAGTTTGTCAAATATTTTTGTTATAATTTCTAAAAAATGTTAAATTTTTATAAAATAATATGAATATTGTAAAAACTAGTTTTCTGTTTCTGAATTAAAATGTTGTTATGGGGCTTAAAGTCTAAAATGTGAGGGAGGTGTAACTATCTGAAAATGAAAGAAACTGAAAGAAATGGTTTCACTGATGATGATTATTTATTTATTTACATTTATTAACGAATTAGGCTGAAATCTTAAAAATAATAATTATTTTTATTATTATTTCTATAAAACACTATACATTTCTATAAAATAATATGAACATTGTTTAGGTGGTGTCCAGCTACCAAAATCAATGGTTTTACTGATGATGATGATTATTATTATTAATGCATTTGTTTAAATTTATTTTTTATATAATTTAATGTATTTATCATTTAGGCTGAAATTTGTAAAAAAAAAAAAAAAAAAGTTAAATCTTTTATCATCTTTCCATTTGTGTTTTGTTTAAAAAGTCAGTGTGGTGTAACCAACAGCTATTTTGTTGTGTTGTGACAAGAACACCATAAAACAGGAACTTGTATTAAACAGAAGACCTCTGTAGACCCTCATGCCTCAAAAAGACCAGCAAGTGTTTAAGAATTATACTGATTTAATATCTGATATAATACTGATACTGGTATAATATCTGATAATGATACTTGACCTTTTATGTTATGGAAATTTTATTAATTCTGATTGTCAAATGGTGTAACCTCCAAGAAAACGTTATTTAAATCAATATTTAAAAATAATAAATCCATGTAAAAATGGGTTTAAAACTCTTTTTGCAAACGTAATGATTAGGATGTGTACACACGTGCAAGATAAATATTTTACTATTTTTGTGGTTACTCTGTTTTGACTCGACGAGTGAGAGACACTCCTACTCTCACTGTAGAGTCTCCAGATACAAAGAGAAGGGGTACATGATCAAAACAAAAGCAGGCATTCACATCCCTCGGGGGATCCTCTATGATGACAGGACAGCGTCTTTGCATCACAGTTGTATCAAATCACATCAAGCCATAAACAGCTAAACATCCTTTAGGTGTGCAAACATGGCTGTGAGGAAGAACAAAGAATGCTATGCATACCTGTTAACACTGCCCAGGCTTGTTTTCCAAGTTTGTGGAAAAGAGCTTATTGTTTTGTATTTTTTTTCCCCAAATTATTCCAGTAATGGGAATGGACCACAAACATTCATATGTTGTCGTTTTTGCTGTATTTATCTGATCAAAAATACAGTCATATTGTGAAATATTATAATTCAAAATAACTGTTTTATATTTTAATGTACTTTAAAATTGGATTCATTTTTGTGATGGCAAAGCTGAATTTTCAGCATCTTTACTCCAGTTTTCAGTTTCACACGATCTTTCAGAAATCATTCTAATATGATGGTTTGCTGCTCAAGAAACATTTCTGATTATTATCAATGTTGAAAACTGTTGTACCGTTTATGTTATTTATTTTTATCATGATGCTTTTTTTTTTTCAGAATTCTTTGATGAATAGAAAGTTCAAAGGAACAATTTATTTGAGATAGAAATCTTTTGTAATATCATAAATATCATAATGTCACTTTTGATCATTTTAATGCACACGTCATGCAAAATAAAAAGTATTTATTTCTTAAAAAAAATAAAAAATAAAACTTACTGACCCCAAACCACAAATCAAAAGAATATATTCAGAATGTTATTCTATTCTGACTAGATCAAATCAAATAGGTTCTTGAAAGTAAGGATTTACAAGCAATGATATAGACAAAACATAAGTGCTTCTCTTGCATTATAGTTTAAATCATTGCTTGTGATGCTAGATATAATGGGGAAGATTGTGATGGGGAAGTCGTGGCCTAATGGTTAGAGAGTCGGACTCGTAACCCATCCGGGTGTGTGTTCACGGTGTGTGTGTGTTCACTGCTGTGTGTGTGCACTTTGGATGGGTAAATGCAGAGCACTAATTCCGAGTATGGGTCACCATACTTGGCCACATGTCAGGTCACGTCACTTCACTTCATATAATCACATCATGTAAAAGCAGCACTCTAGTGCCACTTAATGTTAACTTTGAGTACTGTACTTACATCAATAATTTTCATCCAAAAATTCTATCATCTACTCATCTTCATGTTGTTCTAAAACATTTATAGCCTTCGTTCTTCGTTCTTTTTGTATGGAAAAGATGCTCTTTTCCATACAATGAAAATCTGAATGAGATTTGACAGCTGTTCATCACACAATTCTATCATATGTTTTTAGAAGATTTGGAATATGATACAAAAGTCATATGGACTTCAATTATACATCCATGGCTCTTTTATTTCATTTTTGGCCATTGAAAGAGTCTCCTTTGTATTGGAAACGATACACTTCTCCTTTTGTGACTGACAGATTTGATCATCAGCAGACATCAGGCTGATTTTAGTGGACGTAGGATTTTGAAAGATCCCTAACCCAAGTCTATAATAACAGTATGTTGGCACATCAGCAACTGCTGATCTCTACATCACAGCTGTGTCACGAAACTGCGGCTTGACCCCAGGCCGCTGATGAAACTCATGGATTCACTACCAGCAGCACAGTTCCTCTTTCTGCTCATCTTTTAAACAAAGAGCTCTGTGAATATCATATGGTGAGGTTTTATATGGGAGATACTCACGAGATAAATGAAAGAAAACAATGCTCCTTTTGTATTTGTAGGGTCAAATGTTTAGTGTAGTGAAATATTCATAATGGCTAAGTGGTTGTACTGTCCAATTATAGAAATGTCATAGCTTTAATGGGTTTAAGGAAACTCGATCACCTTGAGTAAGACAGTCTGGGCAGCAGCAGGTACATGACGATACAGACAAGAGTGAAGACGTCCGCTGTGATGAAGTACACCAGCGCACTGTCGGTCACGTCACTCGAGGCAGCCAGGTCTACTATTGATGCCAATGCACTCAAAGTGCCACCCATGGCCTGACCTGAAGACAAAAGACACAAGCTTAGTCTTGTGGCTCCATTATACATTGTGCGGTTGGCATGTGGAATTTTATTTTTGTATATTTAGAGATGACTAGCACTGATTTCCATTCATTCAACTCAAGAGGATGAACACTTAGTGGAAAATGTAGTGGTACCTGATATGATTGCTTGAGATATTCTCATGGGAAAGTGGCCACTGATACCGAACACACTGCCAGAGAATATGTTGGACGCCCCGCTGACCAGCGCCACACTGGCCAGCGTACCCCCAAAAAACTGCATCCTGCAGCCAGACATATCCACTTTCACCAGCGCTGTGGTCACCACAAACACAACCAAGATCACCAGGAGAGAGAACAGTATCCGCACCCGAGAGGAGAACCTGAAAGAAATACCGGGGCCAGTGTGAAAGCGCTACATCAGGACAGCTGATGGAATTGTCACTTTAGAAGATCTGACATTTGCATGTTTTGAAATCTTGCCAAATTAAACATTCAAGCGGTTTGAAACCATTCACAGCATGGAAACTTGATTCGGTCGACCCATGGTTCCCAAACTTTGCAAGGAGAGTGTGGGAAATGACATGCTTTGAGGTCAAATATGGACGCAATATGGATTTTCGTAAAATGCAACGAGGGGGCTTTAAGGACAAAACTTTCTTTTTGCTTGTTGACATGCTGCTACTAATCCTTGAATAAGTAAGGGAATGTTCTGAAGCCAATTTAGTCCTTGTTTACCGGTTTACATCAATGCAGAGGGTCAGCTTTAAAATATTTTTGACATCCTTGTTTGTATGATCCAATCGCTCACCCCAATTCAGTTAGTCTTCACACAAAACAGACATCTTATTTTCAACGATAATTTCAATGATTTTCAATGTTCACAACAAAACCACAAAAAAGAGAAGTCTGGAGATGAACATGTAATGTTAGAAAATAAACAGTGAGCCTTTATTCTCTGAGAGCACAGGAATTTGCAACAGTTACAAAGGTACAACAGTACACTTGAACAGGACGCTGTGTGTGTGTGAACTGATTCAATTTAGGCTCAGCCAGAGATGCTTTGTTTGTGCTGCACAAGGAGTTGCAAACTCTTGCGCCTGTTAGAAAACATTTTTGGCTTTTATAGGAAGACAAACTAATACTACCTTTCAACCAGTGTAGAATCTCCCTCCTGCACTCTCAAAAATAAAGGTTCGTTGTTGGCATTAATGGTTCCATGAAAAACTTTATAGTGAAAAAAAAAGTTCTTCAGATTATTTAAACGGTCACTGAAAGGCTCTTTGGGGAACCCAAAATGGTTCTTCTATGGCATTCCTGCAAACACCCCCTTTATTTTTAACAATGGACAATACAGAAAGTGAAGTGTGCAGATTTACAGGTTTGTTTTACCTGTTCACCAGGAGGTAGTTGAGGATGAGACACAGCACTGAGGGAATCGCAGAAGCGATGGCGATGTAACTCTCAAAGTAGTCCTGCACACCAGACCAAAAAAAAAGAAGAAGAAACATAAGTCACTCATAATCAATACATGTATCACAATCAGTGATGTAAGCGATAATGCCAGTCATTCCAAATATTTTTGAGGAAATCCTGTATGAAATAAATGTTAATTTCAGCACTTGTATGTAAGTTTAATTGGCTGTCTTTAATTGTGTTTTATCATAAATGTGTATTGACATTATACGAATCACCTCTAGATGTCGGCCACTGAAAAAAAATCACTCTTTAGACAGAAAAAATACAGCAAGTAAAAATCAGTGCTTCATAGTTAAAATGCTATAAGCAGTGCTTGATGTATTTTTTTTTAAATAGCCCCATTAAAGGGACTAAAGACACTCAGACTTTCCTCAAAGTATCTTCTTTTATAGTCCACAGTAGAAACAAAGTCATACAGTTTTGGAATGATAGAAGGGTGAGTAAATCATGACAGAATATACATTTTTGGGAAAACTATACCAGAAAATCTCAATAATAAGTCATTTGGAAAGAAAATGCCCTTAAAGGGATAGTCCATCCAAAAACAAAAATTCTGTCATCACTTACTTGGTCCCAAGGTGCTCCCAACCTGCATGAATCTCTTCTGCTGAACACAAAAGATATTCTGAAAAAAAAAAAAATGTTGAGAGAAACTCATACAGGTTTGGAACAGCTTGAGGGTGAGGAAATCATGACTGGTTTTCATTTTTGGGTGAACTATCCCTTTAATTATCATGAATGTAATGTCAGAAGGACATGCTTTCATAAAATTTACCCTTAAAGCAAAGCAATAAATGTTTGAACCATCCTAAGTGATGGATCTCATTGAGAAATATGCCACATGCTCAAAACAAAAAGGTGATCAGAGCTCATGTGCTCTTGATGATCTATAAAAGAGTCTTATTAAGTAAATGATATGCTTTCACTTTCACCATTTCCTGAGTTTGGGCAGAAGTGAGAGTAACAAACAGAAAAAGGATTATTAAATCAGAACTCATGAACTCACAACTTCTAATGAGTTTAATCTTATTATAAATTAATAATAATAATAATATAACCAGATTTCTGGTTAACTAAATCTACAACTTAACTAAAAATCCTTAACTTAAAAGTTATTGATGCCAATAATAGAACCCATTTAATGAAACCTGATGGTTTTTCTTCCCGTTTAAAATTATGTGGTCTGTCTTTGCCACCCTGGCAACTAAGAGGGAAATACCAACATAAAATCCAACACACTTTAGTATCCCAGGATGCACCTCAGCCTTCCGATTCAATCTATTTAGAAACAAACGTGAAAGTGCAGCCAGTGGCCATAATCAGATCAATTCCAAAGACCAAGAAGGAAAGAAATAGTAAACTAACTATAAACCACACACTAATATCACCATCAAAAGAGGACAGATTCTACCCAATATTACTAGCTTTTAGCTTCAGTGACTCTAGAACACACTAAAGGAGCAAAAGAGAGCCTGTGCGTCTGCATATTAAAGAAACATCAGTTCTGTCAAATATCACAAGACCTTGAGAATGCTGGGGTGAGCAGAAAGTGCAGAAACATGTTGTGACTGCTTTAAACAACTGTTCAGCGTGGTAACAAGTAGGTGACACTCGTGCCTGAGACAAACACTTTCTGTGTCATCTGACTCGCTTTAGCATTGTACACTTGGCTGCACAATGTATATACTGTGGAAGACTTACTATTCTTCAAAGTTGCACTGTACCTTTTTTTGAGTCATTAGCTGCGTTTCCATTACCCTTCAAATTGCGCGAATTAAAATTGCGAATTGAAAATACTCCTAATGGAAACGCATACATTTTGCAAAAACGCCCATATATCGCAAAAAAGTTTTTACGCTCGCATGAGGTGGCTTTTCAGGCAATTCAAAAAAGGAATATTTTGCAAAACTGCAATGGAAACGTTTTTATTTTTACAGGAAAAAAAAATATGTTTTACAACCGCTACAATAAAATCCTGTCAATTGGCCTACTGTAAGTTACCTGACCATTTACAGTGAAAATCTGTAAATGTTTTTAATTCAATTCTACTGTAATTCTATACTGTCAAATGTACAGTGTTTGGAAGTAAAAACTATGTATTACCATATAACGCAAGGCAAAAAAACAGGAAAAGGGCATGGCCAGAACTCTCAGTGTGACACATCACATACGATCGTATTTCATTTCAGCTGTGCTTCTTCTCAGTTTTGTTATCAGTAATGTACAGTAGGGTGTTTTGTGTTACATTTTCTGTTATTTAGTTTATTGCATTACTTTAGTTACAAGTGTGTTACCCTGATGGTGTTTTTTGTCTTTGTGTGTGTGACCCTGTGCACCATGTTTTATGGACAGGCCACAGATGAACTCTGATTTCTGTTTTACCACCTGCATTATTATGGTGGTTATCAGTACATTTGAAAGGGGCCATATGATGCGATTTCATGTTTCCCGTTGTCTTTGGAGTGTTAAAAGCTGTTTGTGCATAGAGAAGATCCGTAAAGTCGCAAAGATTAAAGTCTCAAACCCCAAGAGATATTCTTTATAAAAGTTAAGACTGGTCCACGCCCTCCTAAAACGCCTCGTTTAAACATGCCCCCACATGTCTACATCACTGTGTGGGAAGATTTGCATAACACTGCCCAAATGTTCACGCAAAGAAAGAAGGCGTAACTTTGATTCTCGCTGTAGTATTGCTGCTGCCGCCATGTCGTGGAGATGCTGTGTGTTTCGTTGCGAAAGCCAAACTACTTCATTTGGTCTTCCAAAAGAGGACACAACTAGAAATCAGTGGTTAAGTTGTATTTACAACACTGTTCCAGAACAGTTCAACCCAAATATTCAGATGTGTTCAGCACATTTTATGGAGGACTGTTTTCTGATCCTGGTAAGGGGCGTAACATTTCTGTCACACGCTTGAGGAATTCGGCCAATCACAACGCACTGGATAGCTGGCCAATCACAGCACACCTCGCTTTCAGAACGATGAGCTTTGTAAAAATCGACGCGTTTCAGAAAGGCGGGGCATAGAGGAGAAACAATAATGTACAGTATGTGGAAAATAATGTGTTTTTTGAACCTTAAACCACGTAAACACATTGCACTACACCAAATAAACAAAATAATGTTTTTTTTTAGCAACGTCATATGACCCCTTTAAGGTAAAAAGCAGATTTTGGTACTTCAAGTAGATTGGTAATTTAATATTCTATATAAGTTGTAAAATATACAGGCACCAATATGCCATGCCTTACAGTGTTACCGTATTTTGCATGGTGCATATCTGGCAAACACAGCTGTCAGGTTGTTTGGTTGTTGTTGTTTTACCATCAATTTTAACAGGATATTTTTTTACAAGACTAATAAATAAAAGCATGTAAATAACAGTGGTTGTTAGATTAAAAAAAAAAAAAAAGTCATGCACATTGGCAAAATAAAAGTCCAGCTTCTGCTTTGACAGTATATCGGGCAACCACTAGTAATTAATAAATAAACGTTTTTTTAATTGGTTAACAGACTTACGCTGAGGTCACTGTGAGGTTCCTCTTGAGCAGCGGGGCTGGAGCCGTTACTAAGCTTGTAGAGCCAGTACTGTTTGGCTGTGATGAAGACATTCCATGGCAGCAGAGAGCCGATGCCCATCAGGAAAAAGATGATGTATACCAGATTGTAGGAGTCCTCCGGGCAGTGACGGGCCGCCAGGGGCCCTGCCGGCTGCTGTTGGGAAAGCAAAGGGGAAGTGTCGCCCCCCACCGCCTCACCCTCTGAAAGCTCTTCGTCACACATGGAGGAGATGGTGGTGGGAATGTAAGAGGAGTTCACGCTGGCCTGTAGAGACTGCTGACCATCCATTCTCAAAGAGACAGGATGGAGGGAGGGAAATGGAGGAATCCAAGGGATGTGAGGGTGACCAGGATAAACTAATGCTGGAGGAGAGAAAAATAGAGGAGAGGGGTAGCAATAAAAACATATAAAAGGGACGCCTGCATGTGCACGGCTTATATATATTTGGGCCCCAGTCAAAAGAGTACAGCCTCAAGTCTCTATAGCTATGTTTCCAGCCTAAGTTGTGATTTTAAATTATACTTAAAATTGGAATATCGCAAAAACCATTTGCGCATGAAGCACTGTTTCCATCCCATGTGTTAAAGAGAACAAAATCTTCACTTCCTGGGAAACTGGCGCAAAAACAAATGAAATGTAAAAAAAAAAATAATAAGTGACTTGCGCCTCAGAGTGCACAGACACAACGCAATCATTTTATCTTGCGTTTATAGTCCGACACCTAATGACTGGTAACCCAATTGTGTGAGACAGTTCTGGTAGGGAATTATACCAAATCAACCAGTTCATTGCCTCAGGCATTTCAGAATGATTAAAACGACATCTGAAATTGTGTGCAGTGAGATTGGACTGCCGGTTAGTACAGTTATGCACTTGATCTCTTGATGAAAAGTCCCAATGTTTTAAAAAGAAATAGCAGCCTCACTTTCACATGTCACATTATTTAATGCATCATACATGTCCACCACCACTAACAAAGAGGAAGGAATTTCAAAGATATAGCAACTACTTCAATAAAACACAGAACCCATTAAACAGTAAACAGTATTCAAACTTACTAGAATGTCAGCCCCTCTGCTGCTGTGAGGTTACCGTCTGTCTGCCATCCCGGAGACGCTGTCCACTCAGATCACAATGAAGATATAAGTAAACACTCAGGACTCATACTGCTGCAAGAGACCGACAGAGAGCATACGTGAGAACACACCTCCACCGCATTACTCACAGTATGTAGAATTTCACACCGGTAGAATAGAGACAATCTGTCTCTATCCCAATCCTGACTGATGCATCATTCAAGGAATGCTGGAATAACTGCTGATGCCGTACATGCATAGCTCACACTAATTACAACACACTCACATGCTCCTGTACTCCACTCAGTCACATGACACCAGACTGACATCAACCTAAGAGACTGCAAACATACACACTATGTGATTGACAAACTCCACTCTCTAATATACAGCTGATAATATAATAACATATTATTGGAATCAATAGTGCACATTTCCTTTTTTCATGTTTACTTTGTTTTCTTTCTTTTTTTTGTACATGTTAAATAAATATTGTGTAAAATAAGTGACATTTACTAATAGTTACTGTGGTAAATATGATCACTACAGTACAAAGGGTTTTATGCAGCGTTATTAAAAAGTAAATTTGTCATTACAAAAAAGTACCGTGATGGTACCATGGTACATTGATAGTGTCTGGTGGTAAGATCATGGTACTTTGATATATACTATTACCATGGTACTAAAAGATTACTATACATGTAGTTTATGTGATGTGTAATTCGCCTGCTACGAATACTTAACAATACAGACCCCGGGTGGAAAAAAAAGTTTTGCTCTTTCCTATAATTCTAATGTATCATTTAAGAATCAACTTGTCTCAAAGGGTTTATTTAGGAAAACAATAAACAGACAGAAACCAGTTAAACTGTTGACATACAGTAAAAATAAGAAATACAATGAATGTGGAGAGGAGCTCAGATAATTTGGTCTTGGGAGAATTTGCAGCAAAATGTCACAGTTTGCTCTCCATGTAGCCTCATTGTCTGAACGAAACAAATGAGATATTAAATGAACTCAGAGTTCATTTGTATATTTTTTTTCTTCCTCTTCTTCTTTTGTATTGTGTTCTCAGACAGCAGCATTTTAGTCATCGTGAAGCTCAAAAAATGTTGTCTATGTAAGCAGCTCACTGGGTTTTAAAACAGAGAAGGGAAGTGTTTCTCAATATTACAGTGCTCAGCATTTTTAACTGTGTGCCAAAATAAAAATCAGTAGCCTATAGCCAAGTGAAGTGTGTATGTATGTGTGTATATATATATATACACATATATATATATATATATATATATATATATACACACACACACACACACAACTTAACTCTTAACCCAACTCTAGAGAACTACAGACCGGTTTCCCTTCTACCTTTCATTGCAAAAACACTTGAACGAGCTGTGTTCAACCAAGTCTCTGCCTTTCTCACACAGAACAACGCCCAGACAGCAACTAATCTGGCTTCAGAAGTGGACATTCAACTGAGACTGCCTTGCTTTCAGTTGTTGAAGCCCAAAGACTGGCAATAGTGGCTTCCATCTCATTCCATCCTGATGATCCGATGACAGCTGCTTGCATCTCAGCTTGTCTAACAGACATTTCTTGCAGGGTGAAGGACCATCACCTTCAACTCAACCTGGCTAAGACAGAACAGCTTGTGGTTTCAACAAACCCATCACTTTATCAAAATTTCACCATCCAGTTAGGCTCATCAACCATAACTCCTTCAAAAACAGCTAGAAACCTTGGAGTTGTGATTGATGATA